CAGAAATTGCAGTTCCACAAAGGTGTGCCCACATGTCCCCCACAGAATTTAAATCCTGAGACCTGATTCTCTCATGTGCTGGTCAGTATCATGGCCTAGCCTGACATAATTCATCCCCTGTTCTGACTCACTGGTGAATACTGTGATCTAGACAAGCCCTAGCTATAGCGTGCATTGGTGAGTGGTGACTGGCGGTGATCTATGCTAACTAGCCCAGCTCAGGTCTCCCACTTGGGCCCGTGCATCAATCTGACCCATCAAGATCTTCCAGCTTCCCCCCTCCAAACCCCTCAGTCTCATCCCCCTCGCTTACTTTCAAGTACAGTGGTCTTTTTTGATGTCCCTCAAGAAGTCACTCCTCACTTGCACCACACTCCCACCCACATTTCCTCCTTGCCCCATCACCTAATCAAGCCACAGTCCCTGCACCTGGGAGCACTTGGATTCATCAGCCTTCCAAATCCCAAACTTTGGATGGGGTGACATGCTAGCCCAGAGTTCTGCCTGCCCACCAGGGTCCCAAGCTCCTGGCACATGTGCTGGCCAGGGACCCTGCCCCTCCACACACCTAAGACCCAGTCCTGATTAAAGTTTTCAAGCCTGGTCCACCAGCACACCAGGTCAGCATGCTCACCTAAGTCTCTCCCCTTCCCCCACCCTGCCCAGACTAAGGACGTGGGAGAAGTCAGGTCCCCGCAGGCCCTGCCAGCTTTATCCCCCGGCCCCCATGGATCCTATGCCCTCCACAAGTGTGCAAAAAGGCTGCAAGCCGCTCTCCACGGGCATGCAGAAAGGCGGTGGTCACCGTTACCCTTCACACATAGCAAGGTCTGTGTTTTCATTCTTAAGTACCATTTCAAAAAAAATCTGCTTTTTTCCCCAAAGAACAATGTTCCTATTAAAAAAATCCTGATTGTTCCATATTCATAAAAAGTTTAAAAAAACTATATGAGTTTGAAATGATTCATTTATAAAATCAGACTCAAAAATCACTCCAGCAAATATATGTTTATCAAAGTTTATTATGATTAGAAAAGGTAACTCGCTGAGACTGATAAAAATCTCTCATATTTGGTGAGGTGGACTCAATCACTCTCCCATGTGGAGCCACAATGTAGCTGTTACTGCCGATTCGAACCCAGGGAACTTTATCAATGAAGAACATGGCTTATGAACCAGCAGACTGCAAGGCAATTTTAGCATAACTTATTAAGGGGTGGGGAAGAGGATGGGACAGAATTTCTTCTACGTGACAAATCAGGTGCGTGTCTCAGCAAAGTACAGCGAGCAGTGTGTATTCAGGAAGGGGTGTTCATGGTCTAGACTTAAAGGCCCCCTTTTCGTCTCACCTCCTCCCTGCCTCTTCTGAGAAAGTCTGTGGGTGAATCGCTGAATCTGCAATTCCCCTAAGCCCCTCCAGACAGTACTGACCCCAAGGTTCTTGTTGGAGCAGCAAATGGCTTCTTCGGCCCAGTGATTGGACCAGCGGAAGTGCCCCTTCAGGTCAGTGAGTTCCTATGGACAAAGCACAGCAAGGGAAATAAATGGGAAGCTGGTCCCGCTTTTAGGATTTGTGTTCTTCTTCCACTGGGTGTTATTTTCTTTGTTCCTTCTTATAACATCAGCTAACGTTTGCCTACCTGGTTTACCATGCTCTCTTGATACCATGGAGGTTCAGATGCTGTCAGCGGAGAGCCACAGCAGAGATACGGGTAGAGAGTTGTATGACATGCACTGATGCTGTTGTGTCAGTCAGTGCACCTGTGGGCACAATATCACAATCATGCGGGGAAAGCAGACACAAGCACGTGGGAGGCCACACAGTGCTGCTGTGCCCATTCTCTTGGCTAGGACTCCATCACGTGGTTTTGCAGGCCAACCTCCAAGAAATGTAGCCTAGTGGAATAGCTGCTACTAGATGAATCTTTGAATTTACATAAAATTTGAGGTGAATCCGAACTGTAAGGCTATTGATATCTTAGTGCTAATAAACTTTGCATTGACTCACTTGTGCATAGGGCGGTAACCTCATTGGAAGAAAGCTTTCCTACTAATGACTTTTGAATAGTCAATCTAATAGTAAAGACAGATCAAAAACTGAGTTTGAAAACCTGATAGACAAACTCCAATACACTCTTTCTTTATAAATGCTATCAAGACAAATGAGTGAATATCTTCTTATGCATATTGGGGGTCACAGGTACTGGAGCCCACTGTGAAGAGGAATCCCAGGTTTAGAAAATGAAATTTTATATACATATATATATTTATATACTCATATGCACACTACACACATCTATATCTATGGTTTAATTATCTGCATTAGTGTGCTACTAATTTTTAGATTTTCTAATTTAAACTTACAAACTATCTTATGCTTCAATACTCATGACTAGACCAAAGCAAGGATGGGTTGTGCAATGAGTGCAAATCATAGCCTTCGATGGGCTAATTGCCTTTCTTCATCAAAATGTAAGATTCAGTCTCAAGCTAATATCCAAGACTGAGTCATACATTTGCCTACAAGTTTCTTTCACCCACAAAAAGCCTGAGTGGCAGGTATGTTTCATCTTCTAAACAAATTAACGCAATGTCACTCTGTAGCTCTTAACCTTCTATTTAGTTTCTAAATGCTGTTGCACAAAATTACTCACTCCTGTAACACTTCCTGTGGATAATGCAGAATTCTCGCAGCTTACATTTTGCTTACTCTAACCACATGGTACACATTACCTAAATGAGACCAATTTAAGCTAAATTGGGACATCTTTTTCTTTCTGCTAATAACATTGTTTCAGATGTACTTCCAGTTTGTACTTCCCATTCTTTGGTTTGCACTACCCTTTTCTCTGAATTCTCTCAATTTCCATATTTTAGTTGTTTCGTTTTTTTTTTCATATGCACATGTTTTTCTCCATTTTAACCCAGCAGGCTTTCTTGATATCTAAATATCAGGTTGTATTCTTTTGCATTTTAATGAAGCTTCCACTTATTTTCTAATGTTTTGTTTTTGTTAATAGAATGAAACAATCAGAGAGCAAGAAATAAAGTTTATCATTTCTGCTGTGGAGTGATGCTTTTCTCCAAACTCAAAATTGTGATGGGTTACATTTTCTGCATTGTTTTACTTACAGGTTCAGAATGTAGGTTCTGCAAAAAAGATAATGATAATAAAAACAGATATCATGTTATCACTTCTCTGGTGATGCATTACCCTATACTTCAGCAGTTCATGAGGAACAATGACTGACGTGGTGGTAGTATGGAACTTCAACCAAAATTTTAGGGCCCAACACGATAGCCTGGTGGCCAACTCCTCTTCTTGCATTTGCTGGGATCCCATCTGGGTGCCACTTCCCATTCAGCAGCCTTTTTGTGGCCTGGGAGGGCAATGAAGAATGGTCCAAAGCCTTGGGGCCCTGCACCCATGTGGGAGATCTGTAAGAATCTCCTGGCTCCTCGCTCCCAGCTTCAGATCAGCTCAGCCCCAGCTGTTGCGGCCACTTGGGAAGTGAAACAGAGGACAAAAGATCTTTCTATCTCTCCTTCTTTCTGTATATCTGCCTTTCCAATAAAATGAATTAATAAGATGAAATAAATAAACCAACATTTCATAATAAAGCATATATTCTACAAATATGTATATACTATTAGAAAGCTTTAAGTGACAAAAAAGCACATATCCAATTGCACAGTAGACATTTTTCAGTAGGATGAAGAATAACCCAAATGCAATTCACAGTTTTCACAAGTCCTTGCTAATTATTACAAGTCATCTTCATTGGAATCCCAATCTTTGAATATTATTTCTAAAAGTAGCAATAGTTTCTTGGAGAGTAATCTCAATATAACATCCAAGAACGTGAATGGCAAGGTTTGAGGGAACAGAAATGTTCATGCAAAAGCTATTTCACTGTATACATCACACACACACACACACACACACACACACACACACACACACACTCACACCTTTCTGTAACTTCATGTTTTTGGCCTCACAAGCATGGATCCTTTCAAATAAATCTATTGAGTATCAGTAAGCCAATATTGCTACTTGCATTATATGCTTTGCCTTTTAATATATTATAATCTTTTTCATTTTATTAGCCAACTGAAAACTACTAAAACAGCCAGGCCATGTATTACTGCTAATAAAACATCTCTTGTCTTTAGTACTTTTAAAATTATAAATGAATTTACTTATTGAAGAGACAGACAGATACCATATTTGCTAGTTAAATCCCCAAATACCTGCTAGGGCCTGGGGTGGACCAGGCGGAAGCTGAGAGCTGTGAACTCAGTGTGGGGCTCCCTGTGGGATGCAGGGACCCAAGTACTTGAAACCCTGCTGCCTGCCTCCTGGGGCGTGCGTTAGGAGGAAGCTGGAATTAAGCGTGGCACCGGGACTAGAATTCAGGCACTGCCGTGTGGGATGCCGTAACCCAAACTGACATCTTGATCTCTAGGCAAAACACCCACCCAGTCTTTATATTCCGATGGATTTAGAATTAGAACTACTTTTTTTTTTTTTAAGAGGAATACATAAGGGTTTCATCAAAACAGTGAGTAACTTATAGACAGAGAAGTCACAAAAGATAAGGATGTTAATTTAGAGTCGGACAATCGTAAATGTTTGTACCTAGATATTTATTGGGTATTGAATAGAAAAGACATCGAAGTTATTTGAGACAGGAAATGTTATTTAAGTTTGGAGCTTGATTCTCAGTTAAATTATAAGAAAATTATTTTCATGAATAATTATTTTCAGTCGAAATCCAAGTTTTTCTAGACTTTTGCCATATTTTAAAATTCAGTTACTAAATCTGCAATATGTCTACATGTAAAACACAAATACTTTTAAAATATTTTTGCCAATGTTTTCCATCTTAAATAACAAAGACCTTTCTTTGTAAATTGTGATTTTTTTTTAAGATTTGCCAAGTATGTCCATTTTCATGATGAATGCCTTCTGATAGCTGGTCTCTTTTCTCTTCTAGGTTGTGGAGACTAATTTGGTTGCTTTTGACTGTCACTGGATCATTATAAATGAGGTAAAGCCGACTAAGCCATATTGTCAAACTCCTTTCTTTTGTCAAATACATATATATATATCTATAGCATTTCATATGACCTTGGATTTCTAAACAGAAGCAGAACATGAAGTAAACTTTTAGCATACTGAGTGGATGCTGTTAAATAAAAATAGAACGAGCACTTTTAAAAGATGATAAAGGGCTTTATGTGAACAAAATAAATGGAGAAAGTGTTCCCCACTGAGTGTCTTTTAGCTTTTGCTGTTGGCACACACTGCCTGCTTAGGAAGATCATCTTTATAAAATGTACAGTTCTTCTTTGTAAGCAAAGTGACTTCCTCCCAGTGGAGTGCTTGTGTTCCATTTATATTTTAATGTTGTTTCTAGAACTTTTATTTCTACCCCAATCTACAGGAGAATTAAATAGCTCATCAATATTTTCCTCTTTCCATAAAGAAGTGCGAATGTTTTGAAATCCAGAGTTGTCCAATTCTTTATGAGAGTCTTTGTTTTTCACAGAGGTAAAAATATAGAGTGAACAATGTTTAACAATCGTAACAATCCAACAGCCCTGTGAAACAGATTATGCCATTATCACCTTCATCTCAGAGATTATGAGTAAATCAGTCATGGACAAATAATGTGATCATGCAAATCTGCCATTAACAAGATGAAGTATCTGATGAAAACCTTTATTTAAGAATACATATAATGTGGTTTTCTGTGAATAGCAAGAATAAAAGTATAGTAAGGTTTGTTTTATAATGAGATAGTATTTAGGGGTTAAGTTTCTGGTTTTGCAGTCAGCAAGTTAGAATTAGTCTTGGCTCTACAAATTCATTAGCTGTGTGCCATGGATTTACCATCTTCCTGTGCCTCTATAAATTTTTTGTATGGTATAACATTACACTTACTTTATAGGTTCATAATAAAAATTAAATGAACTATGAAATAATGCTCTTAACGTAGGGCCTGATCATTGATAGTCAAATTGGACTGTGACAGTGACCATGCCACCGGAAGAGTCAGATTGTTTTTTTTCTCCTTATTTTGTTAAATGATAAACATTATTCTAGGAAATACTAGAACGAGGTCCATAGAGGTTAAGAGATTATTTCTCCCACTTCAGTTTTTCACCTAATCCCCATGCACTGATGGAAGTTCTTTTAACTCAGAGAAGAGGCAGTGGAAAGCTCTGACAATTTTTTTTTTATCTGCCAAACTGCAGAGCTGTCTGTTTTGTCACTGTGTTTCTCACACTAAGTTAAGATGTAGTTTTTTGAGCTTCATTCAGGCAATGTGTGTGTGTGTGTGTGTGTGTGTGTGTATGGAATCTGTTTCTCATTGAAGCTCTGCAAGCTTCTCATTTTCAGCTAGAACTAGGAAGCATGGCAAGGAAAAGGACCTTGATAAACTCCAAGTAAACATTCTCATTAGATTGCTTAATTTCTTTGGGATTTTTCCTTTTTTTTTGTAAGAAGACTAAAGTTTATTAAAATCACACAATTAGCCAAATATTACACAATTCTGAATGGTGACGATAAGATTTAAAAGTTTTCCAGGGTGAAGCTTTGATGGTTTTCATGGTAACATTTGGTAATTCTCATTGTGTCTTCCATCTTGGATATTTTCACAAAGTCAGTTGCAATTTATTCCACTAGCTTTTGTCTTTAGCTTTAGATTACTTTCTTTTAAAATCAAGATTCTTTATCAATTGATTTGTATCCCATATTCAATTTTACATAGGAAATAGACCATGCAGATTTCTTGATGCTAAGTAAGCTTAACTATTCCTACTTGTACGTATCAGTGAATTTGATAAGCAAAAAAGTTACTTCTTGCTTCCTAGATACATGGATTAATCAAATTACATTTATATTTGCATCATTATGTAGAAATAATTATTCCCTTCTATCTGATAGAACTGTCAAAGAGACCCATAGAAAAGTGCTTTTATAAATCCTTAATTCACCTCCAGTAGTCATACCTAAATCTTAAAAAATATATATGAATCCAAATAAAGTTACCTGGAACAATAGTTTCCTATTCAATGTTTAGGGGTCACTTTGTTCTTTGGAAGAAATCATCTCAGCCTACAAACGTTATACCAGGATGGATATCGCCTGAATAGATTAACATATGACTCCTTAGCAATGAATAACATAGAAAGAGTAGAAAATATATTTGATTATATCTTTCATAAGTACTGTGCACCCATTTGTTGACCTTTTTAGTAAAATAATAGGCAAAGAAATACTGCCTGTAAGTGGTGACTGTCTAATTTGGACTGCTATGTTGCAAAATAAACAAGCTATATAAGCAAAATGATCTACTCACTCAATGTTACCAGTATAAAAGATTATATAAAAGGCTGCAATTCTTTCTTAATCCTTCCAAGTTGAGTTTCTTCTATAAACATCCATAACTACAGCTTCACCCACGCTGTCATGTCATCGTGACACCGTATGTCTCTCCTTCCACTCTTCCTCTTATCGCCCATAGCTGGGCTTTCTAATCCAGGAACAAGAATGTCAGTTCTCCTGGGCAAACCAATACTTTCTAGCTGCTGAAAAACTGCATTGTTCGCAACCTTCACCGTTTACACTGGTTATTACTTTTATCTGAACCAGATTCAAAATCACAGAATGAGCCTATTTTCTAAATTTTCTCCCGTGAGAAAATGTATCATGAGGAAAAAATATTCAAGGTCAGCAATTTTATTTCCACATGAGTCCACTCAGGTGCTCCATGTCCCTGACACAACCTCAGGAAACTTGAGTCTCATCCTTTTCACATATAGTTTTAATTCAAACTCTTGTGTTTAAGATGGATCATATCTTATTCTAGCTTCCAGAAAAGGGGAAAAAGTATATAGATTTCTGAAACTTGCTAGGAAGCTAATAAACTAAAAATAACACAAAAAAGCCCAATAGCATGCCCATTTTGATGAAAAAGAGAAAAGAAAGAGAGAAGAGAGATTATGGATCTGTCTAGTTTGCTTTGTGTAGCTATTATTTTGTTACTAATTTTAAAATGGATTGCAAACATTTATTTAATCTTATTGCACCAATAGCTTTTTAGAAAAGTACTATAAATCAAAGTTGGCATTGTGCATCACAATACAAATTGATGCAGAAACATAAAAGCAAGGTATTTTTTTCATTTGTATTTAGTGTGCTATAATGAGAGGCTGTGCCAGCTCATACCGTGCAATCCATCTTATGTTAGTACTTAGTGTTGTTATTTAGCTTCCCTTTGCGATCAGTGGAGCTGCCTTTCTGCATAAGTATTGTCACCCCTTCAGAGCCCTAAAGCAGATGGCCTCGTGTTTTGAGTTTTACAAAATTGGAAATTCCAACAGGAAGATATATACTATTTAGTACTTCAAGAACGAGCCTGTTTTATGTGCCCTTGAGTTCCCTAATAATACTGAATTTCTCCTTTGATGTCCTTGTTTGATTTTGCTGTATTTTTTAAAACCCATTCATTCATTCTCATCTTCTAATCATTGCCATTAAAGGAAGAATTATTGATTTGGGAGATTTTGTTTTTGTTCTCCTGAGATTTTAGAAATCTATATGTGTGAAAGATGTTCTTCACTTTTTTCTAGTTTAGTAGCAAATTAAGCTGCTAACCATTAATTTGTCAAGCAGAAACTTGCCATTCTCTTCCCACTGGCAGATAGCCTGTTGGTGTTTGAATACTTGCTTCACATTAACATTAAACTTCAAGAAAACACTAAAGATCATCATGGCTCATAGATATAGACTAAAGGCACAGTAAGAAAAACAAATTAGTGAACTGTAATTTGTTCAGTTCCATTATGAAAAGTTCTTAAGAATCATTCACAATCTTGGGCATCCCAATGGATTAAAATATTAGCTATTAATATTCAGAAGATGAGTTGAGAACATCTTGCCCACCATTATTTCATTCAAACAATTTTAATGTCAGCATTTATTAGAAATGTAATTTGAGCTAAGAATGTCGTAGATGCTAAAGATGAAAGAATGAGAAGCAGAAAGGGGGAAATAACTATTTTTCTGGAGTGGTTTGTATGGTCTGGCATGGCATCAGAGTCAATGAGCTGTGAGAGTCTTCCCTTCCATGATATTCTATTCATGTAGCCCAAGCTGTAAAGGTGCACAGATTCCGGAATTATTCAATTCTCCCAAAGGATTTGTCCTGGGAAGTGGCTGTTTCGGTAGTGAGCTGTATCCCCAGCTGCTATTTAAGCCTTCTTCCTTTCTTCTTCTATTCTTATGTAGTTCAGAGTTCACCCCCACCCCAATAAGCCACTAGAGCAAAGTGAAAGTTTTCTTGGATGTATTTGATTCTTAGTAATTTTTTATGAGCCAGGTAAAATACACTACACTTGAACACAAAGGAAATAAAAACCCAAAAGTTGTGTGTTTACTTTTACTGTAATTTCAGTTCTATTCTTAAATACACTTGGTCAAATAAAAACTACTAGAAGGACAAATAATATTATAATTTATATTCAGAAAATTCTTTGAATCTCAAAAAATTTCTCTGTATCTTGGCACAGATTGGTGGCACTGGCAGCTCGAGAGAGAGAGCACTAGTTCTTCAGTTGATGATTTTAAGGATCTTATGGTCCAAACATTATTCCTGAAGCTCAAAGCGTTTAAAGAACACACACCCATAAAGATTCTGTGACAGTTTCACATTTTAATACAGAGGTTTAGTTATGGGATTTCTTTTATATGAAGCTTATATAATCTTGCAGCTCCTGTTCTGGAAACACACCAATCCAAATGCAGAAGTCAAGTTCTGTAAATATAAAATAATGGCCTGATCAAGTTTTCATATCACTGTAAATGGCTTTTGAGATCATGTGTCAAAACTAAAATTGCAAGTGAATTTTTCAAGACAGATGGTCTGTTACTTTCATTCAGGATAGCAGATTCTTTCCTCCTTGAAAATTGCTTTTTTCCCTTCTCCAAAAAAGAACAGACAAAGTAGACTCAGTTTAGAGTGGCATGTCTTCAGATATGCTGTAGTGGCTTAGGCACCTGAGAACGTCAAGTTTGGGCGCCTAGTAAAGGTAACCACCCCCCGTCTGGGGTTTAGTTCTCCTACATTTTAGTTATGATAAATGCTTTTATCATTGTTTATGGACTCATCAGGCTGTTAAGTATTGAAACAATGTATCTTCATAATCTTTATTCTTTCTATCATAAATATTTAATTAATTCTAGGAAAATACGCATTTCATGTTTAATAACTTCAGAGTGCATCGCTTTTAATGTAATTTGAAAATCTCGCCTATGAATATAAAAGATCTTGGGATCTTCCTTTTTTTCCCCCTTTATAAAGTTAGAATAAAACTGTCTGAATTAATGTCATTTGTAGCAGAAAATTAGATGCTAATATTGCATGTAGAATTTGGCATAACATATAGTAGGCACTTCTTAACATTTTTCGTTACTCTGATGTATTGGGTGATATAAGCTGAGAAGGTGTTGCTTGGCAGAATATTGATAAATCTTTGCACTGCTAAGGAAAAAATAACCACATATATACAACCACTTAGCTAATAGTATGAAAAGATTGGTATGGTATGGTATGGTATGGTATGGTATGAATGAGAGTGGAATGAAAGTTGCCAGCTATAAAATTTATGAAATGCTTTTTAGAAAAAATATTGAAAGGTATTAAATAGCATTGCTAATATTAATTAGCAATGCTATTTAATGTTTGTTAATTTTAGGGCTTAAAATGGAGTAGAGTGGACACTGTTTAACTTCACTTTGTGAATAGATGACAGATAATGAAAAATTGACCAGCTGTTTGCCAGTTTTTAGTGGTCAGTGAAATCATGCAGACAATAGGAAAAGGATGGCATTCTAAACTGAGTGAAGGCATTTTTCATGATAAACAAAGGACTTCATCCCCTGGGATTCCTTTGGAAGGTGTTATTTTATTTTCGAAAAAAAATTGTATATTTCACCAAAAATCATAAGGAATGAATTTTAAATCTAGTTTGCCACTTTTTCAGTGTTTCAAACATGTCTGTATTTTCCCAAAGAGTTCATTACAAACTTGTTTTAATATAGTATCTTTAAGTCAGTAGCTCCATTTAATTTTTAGGAATTATTGCATCTAATTCAAAACATAGGCAACAACTACAAATGAAAGGGTCATTTCAAGAACACTTGTTGTTTCCCGTTGGCCGTCTCCTAAAGCATTAAGCAAATGTAGTGTGCTGACAGAGTTGCTTCGCGTTTCCAAAGAGCAACATATGGATTCTGCGGTTGTGTTAGCACTTAAAATTCTTTCCTTTCTTATCTTGCAGGAAATAAACGATATGGATGTGCAGGAGCTTGTAAGAAGGTCAATTGGAAGGTTAACAATTATTAGGCAGACGTTTCCAGTCCCGCAGAATATAAGTCAGCGATGTTTCCGTGGCAACCATCGAATATCTTCAACACTGTGTGATCCAAAGGATCCATTTGCTCAGAGCATGGAGGTGAGTGCTAACTACCCTGGTGTTGCTTCAGAGTGCTTTGTTGGGCCATTGCTGGGAGTGTTTTCTGAGTTACATTGGATCCAGCCTTGTACTTCCTATCATTTCTGAATGTCTCTCCTCCTCCAGCAATTTAATCAATTTGTCAGAGAGTTCCAAGAATCTTTCTTTGATCCTTCTGACTGTGTTATAGGAAAGAAAGCATCTTCTTGCTTAATAAAAGTAGAGTAAGTCAAGATTCTTTATTTCAATTAAGCAGATCTGTTGTAGGGTTTTCGACCCTGACTATGGCAGCAACCTCAATTCTTGTCTCGCAGGAAAGAAGAATTATCATGTGGATAAGGTTTAGTTTTAAAGCAAGATTCATTAGAAAAGTTGAGAAAGGAGGCTCCCATCCTAGTGACGGGAGGGTGCTTTGAGATAGAAAGGACCCGACCTCCTGCCATGGGGCAAGAGGAAGAGAGAAAAAGACCCTAGACCTCTGGCATTGTGGCAGGGGAAAGACAGAAGCCGCCCCCCCCCCCCCAATCCTGCCATTGTGGCAGGAGGAAAGAGAGAAATGCCCATATTAATGGTGGGGAGAGCATCTTTTAAAGGTTCACCTCAAAAATATTTCTCCATAAACAAAGGAGAATTCCTGATTTCCATGGTACCTGGCCTTGGACAAAAGGCCCGGGAAGGTGTCACCAGCCAATTTCTATGGTCCCTTTCTAATGATATAGAACCAGTCTGAAACTCTTCCCTTGGCAATGGCCAGAGATGGGATTGGGCTGAGGCTTGAGATGGGGAATTGGTCTGTTAATGTCGTCCTTGTCTCTTGGGGAAGCGTGTTCTTGATATGTTAAAATATGCGCTTGTCTCGGGAAAATTCAAGACATGGTGGGGGAAATACCATTTTATATTTGAGGGAAAAAAATGACGACATGGGGACCTAGAATACCCTAACTGCCCACTACCCAGTCTAACTCCTCCCTCAGATCCACAACATTTCCTCTGTGGTTGACACTCCTAATGACAAACTTCAAGCTTTTAAGCTGTTCTATCTGCATGCCTTTTTTTCTTTTTTTGGCATACAAAGGACATAGAAATGTAAGTTTGTTTCTTCAGGTATATTTATTTCTATTTGAAAGTCAGTTTTACATAGAGAAGCAGAGACAGAGAGAAAGATCTATCATTCACTGGGTCACTCCCCAAGTGGCCACAACAGCCAGAGCTGAGCCAATCTAAAGCCAGGAGCCAGGCACTTCTTCCAGGTCTCCCACATGGAAGGCTTTGGGTCATCCTGAACTGCTTTCCCAGGCCACAAGCAGGGAGCTGTAAGGGAAGTGGGGCAGTTGGGACATGAATCAGCATAGAGGATCCTGATGGATGCAAGGTGAAGATTTTAGCTACTGGTTATCGAGCTGGGCCCATAATAATGCTGTTTTTAAAGTCTGTTCAGGAAAACTGTTCAGAAATGCAAAAAAAAAAAAAAAAAAGCTTCAATGTTTTGTACTCCTATGCTCCTATGCATATCAGATATGGTATCTTTGAAAGTTTCACCATCTCAAATACAACAAAGAATTAGAAAGTAAGCAAGTAAAATCCTCTCAAGAGCAAAGTGAAGAGCATTAGGCCCCTGTGGCTTGCTCCTGAGATTGCTCTTTAAACATTCACTTGGGACTTTCTTGTTTTGCTTAAGAAAAGATGGGAAGCCCTTCCCTCTTCTCACTGCAGGTTTCAGTTTGTCAGTGTGAAGGAGGCAGACACTCCAGCAACAGCAGGAAGAAGTCCCTAGCCAGGCAAGAAGCAGCAAAGAAGGCATCCATCAGATACTCTCAGCTCCTGCATCCCATCTGTGTGGAGTTTTTCATATAAAAGTCAGTATCATTATTGTTTCATGCTAGTATTGTTAGTGAATATTTAAACCATAACCTTGAGATATCAGCAATGATTGAAACCGTGGTCAGTTTTAGAAGCCAGAAAAACATGAGATATTTTAGAAAATGATTCTTTTAAATTTTGGGTTCTTAGAGAAGTTCAGTTTGAAGAGTTGGTGAATTTAACCTCAAAAGAAGAGCTTAACTCCAATAGTACTAGACAAAAACGGTAATCTTCTAAACTACTTCTTTTAAAGTATAATCCCACAATCTCCTTGTCCTTCATCATCTCGTGAATTTTATAGAGACGAATTACCATTCATCCAATCATTTCTTCACATTTATTAGCATTGAAATGAGCAGTATGACTCCAGGATCATTACCCATGGAACTTTCTGCTCCCTACTGGATTTTAAACTCCTTTAAAAAAAGGTCCCTTTCAGGACTTGGAATCATAAATCCTACAATGTGCTTCTCAATTATTTCCTCTATCACACATCACAGTGATTTGAACCTTTGTGCATATTTTTGAATTTCAGCTGATTAAGGACAATGAAATAATCAAAGCCAACCATTCTGAGACCCTAGTAAGACCTTGTGGATTTCAGTGTCACTCATCCTGATATGCTGATCGTAGGCCAGCTTTGCATATTGATTGGCCATGAGGATAACTAATTGAAAAAGAATAGAATCTTCAATGGGTAAAAATAGAATTTTGATTAAGCAAACTATGAGATATTAAATACTTTTCCTAATAAAAGAAGTAGCCGGGAATGAAGCAGTAACTTTAAAATTATTGACAATGTCCTTAAGGGAAAGAAGAAAGTATCTTTAAGCACATCTGCCTGCCAGCATGATCCTTCCCTTCAATTCATGAAATCCATAAAATCAGGCAACAAATACTTTATTTCTGTAGTACAAAATCGCTCAGATGCATTAAACCTGTGTAGGAACACTTCTCTCTCCCAAGCCCATACTTTCATTTTTCTTCTCATAAACCCACAGGTGTAAGAAAGCCAAGCCATTACTTTTCCAAGGATTTGTTACATGTTAACATTTTCTGTTACATGTGATAGAGTTTAACTAAATCTGTATGGGAACACTGACAAACTTTTATATGAGAAAATTTACGTAATTAACAGTTGTAGTACAATACTCTTAAATTTAAAATTGTTTACTTATTGGACAATAGATATGTAAACTAGCCTTAGTGAAACTTTTTATCACCTGAAGTTCAAGAAATAAAAATAATGATTTGATATTTTGGATTAAGTTCTGATCAATAGTATACCACTGATTGATAATTTGGAAGTAGGAAGTTTCCCAGGAGAAACTGTTCTTTCAACTTGGAAATTATAAAAACAACATAAATAAATATTACCACAGATAAACTTCACTGTAGAATTCAGTTGGGTGCAATTAAAAATTTTCAGAAAACATAAAAGTATGCAAAGTGAGCTCTGAAAACAGAAACCCAGCTACAAAATCACACTAATCAATATAAAGAGAGCAGAAGAGGATAGAGTGGGTTTGTGGAGACTTCTCTGTGCTGTTATCTATTTTAATGTACATGGAAGGGAAATAAAACATACAAAGACTAGAAGTTTTCCAAACTCTTGCTTCAGAATGATTAAATCCAGGGTTAGCTCAAGTTGTAAGACAGTAATTAGAAGAAGTAGAGTTTGAGTAATATATAAAATGACCATAAGTCCATTGTTGATTGTTTGCTGAAAATGATGCTGGCTTGGCTGTTAATGAAAAGAAAACAGAAATAGTCAAATTCTTTGGATTTTGGTTTGTCTGTCAAAAAAAAGTTGTCGTTACACTGGGAAGGTTACAGTTAAAGTTCATGAAAGAGGAAAATGGAATTGCATGCCCAAGCTGATCTGAATAGAGTCTGGGCAGAACAATCAATGAGTTAGCAGATGTGACTACAATTTTCTAATCTAGAAATGTTAGTGGAAGGCTTGCTTGACAAAAGGACCAAAGAGCAAGAGATTGTAATAGTGTCCAAGTTTCAAAAGGAAGGAGGACAATGTCGTGAAGGAGTTTAATATACTAACCATATATAATAAACTGCTGAATATATTATTGATTAGATGATTTGAAGGTATTTCAAATAAGAAAACAGGCTTTCCTTCAGAATAACCACTGACAGATTAAGTTCTTACTGATACAGATTTTACATTGGGAGAATGTCACATATTGTATGTTGAGTTCTGTTTACTGTTTGACAAAATTCCTTCTGAAAATCGCAGTGAAATCTTTGAAACGTCAGGATAGATTGGCTTCACTCCATGTCTTCACTAAGAGGCTCCTAGGGCAGAGTATAGTGAACAATCAGAACTTGGATGGAAAAGCTTTTTAAATACTCATTATCTGCCTAGAAATGATAATGTGACTTTTTATAAAATTAAACAATCATGTTTGGAATAATCTCCCACTGTGTTATTTAGTATTCTCCACATCATTAAGCAAAAATGATGTTTTCTGAACTGGTGTCGTGGCACAGCAAGTTAATCTTCTGCCTGCAGCTCCAGCATCTCTTGTGGGTGTCCCAGCTGCTCCACTTCCTTTCCAACTACCTGAGAATGACCTAGAAAAGCAGCAGTGGATGCCCCAAGGCATTTGGCCCCTGTACCCTGTCTGGAAGAAGCTCCTGGCTCCTGGCTTTGGGCTGATACAGTTCTGGCACTTGTGGCTATTTGGAGAGTGACCCAGTAGATGGAAGACTCTCTTGCTATCTCTCCCTGTTGCTCTCTGTAACTCAAGTAAAAGTAAATAATACTTTAAAAAATAATATTCTAAGATCTGTCAGTCAAAAATATGCTTGATACTAATATATTTGAAATATGCTATTGATGTGTTCTGAAGCATTGAACATATCTACAACATACAATTAGAGTTTTTTTTTCCCTTCTCATTTTGAGAATTATGGAGCCAGAAATATGTTCAAACTTCACCAATAAATATTTCACTCTTAAAAGGCAAGGAATTCTTTGTAGTCATCCCCAGAATTCTGGCTTTGGACCTAGTATTTTCAAAATGTTTATCACTTTCTATATGAAAGTGAATAAATCATACCTATCAAATTTATAAATGGCATAGCTAGAAGAGGAAGCTTATGTTGTATTACATAACCAAATCCAAAATTATTAAAATTGACTGAATAATAAGCCTGAAAATTGAAATTTCAGAGCTAAAATACAGGTTCAAAATCAATTACGCAATGTCTAGATATAAAAGCACTGGTTTGACAGCTGTTCAAAGCTGTTAAGCTGAAGGCAAATTCAGTATGAGCCTCCTGCAAGTCATATATGCTGCAACTCATTTAACATAAGCTTGGTCTCCATGTCAGAAGCATTTTGCCAAGAGCAAGAGAGGTAATATCTTACACTACTTTCTTCTCGTCAGATCACATGTGCTCCAATGTGTCACTTCTGGTTACGAAAGTTTTAACAGAAACATTGAGAAACAAGACAAGAAAAGGATGAACACTGAGATGGAGATAAGTCTAGAAGGTGTAACAGATGAAGAAGAACTGAAGGGAAGAGGCTGTTTCACAGCCAGCAAGATAGATGTTGAAAGGTTATCACACAGAGAAGATGGCCCAGTGATTTCAGAGTGTAGAGAGAGGGAAGTAGTGAGAAATGCTTGTTCAGCTGGGGGTACTGGAGTTTACCATTTCAGAAGGATCGGAGAGAAAGAATGGCAGAAGAGATTATGATGCTCTGGTGAAAATGGAAACTTACCTGAGAAGGAACCGATTAGACGGTAGTGGAGAGCTTAGAGAATATGATAGCCACTTCTTTCTCTTTTTGTCCCTCCCGCCCGCCCACAGGCATAACCATTTCTTTCTCTTTTTTGTTCCCCTTCCCTTAGGCTTTAGTCATCATTTTTAAATGATTTTTTTTAATTTATTTAAAATACAGAATTATACAAAGAAAAGGGGAAACACCCACTTTGGCTGCTGGGCTGTGCTGATGCTAAGAGCCAGGAGCTTCTTCTGTGTCTCCCATCATGGGTGCAGGGGCCCAAGCATTTTGAGCCATCTTCTACTGCTTGCCCAGACCATTAGCAGGGAGCAGAATCAGAAGGAATTTAACAGGTGCTAAGATGGGATGTTATGCTGCAGTCATGCACTGAGAACATCATGTATTGGGTACAAAGAACTCACTTTTAAGACCAGTATAGATACTCAATATCCATACCTTGAGAAATGCAGGTGACTGCTACACCAAAATGCCAGATTTGGATAGAATCCACTTTGTCAGATTTCTTACATCTTAACTTTTGTCCATCCACCTGACCTTAACCTTGACTTTATTTCCGTTCTTCTTGTTCTTTGACTTCTTTTATTTGATGAATGTCTATCCCAAATAAAACATGTTCTAGGTACTAGGCTGTATCAAAGGTTAATGAAGTATAGGGAAACCAAAGAACAAGAAGGTTAGGGTTTGAGTTGTACAATTCAAGTAGAGCATCTTTATAAGAGGAACTAGTATTCTGGTCTGAAAGGCAGATAAACAAGTTGCTTGTATTCCATGTTTCAATAGAGTGGCTGCATTGCATGGAGAAAAAGGAATGACCACCGAGGGTTCAGGAGATAAAACTGGGACTGCTCAACAGTGTCTAAGTCAAGATGGGAATGAGAGGGTGAACTCATAACATGTGCTCTCTAAATCTAATATTGGCAAGTGTTAACTAGTACGAGAAAGATAAAGAGAAATAAAATGAATAAATAAAGAGAAAAACAGTCTCACATATATGCTTAAAGCAATTAGTTGAAGAGATGCAAAACAGAGAAACAAGAGGAAACATCTTTTAAGCAGTAGAGTCAGGAAAAGTCAGAAAAAGGGTGAGATAACAGCATGTCAGTTTTTTAAAAAGTGCTTATTTAATGTAGAAAGTGCCAAAAAATTAAAGAGAGCAAGAGAGAAGGAAAAAGGTAGGAGAGAAGGAAAGAAGAAAGGAAGGAAGGGAGGGAGGAAGGAAGTGAGAGAGAGGAGAGAGAAGGGAGGGTGGGGAGAAGGGAAGGAAGGAAGGAACAAAGGAAGGAATATCTTCAGTCCATGGGCTCAACAAGAAGGGCTTGGACCAAGTCAAAGCCCATGTGTCGCGCAGGGGTGACAGGGATGCAGGCATTTAGGCTGTCCTCTGGTGCCTCCTAGACAGCTGGACCTGAGACCAGTACTCCAGTAGATGCGTGCATCCCAGGGTCTTAATCGGCCCTGCCAAAAGCACGTCTCATCAGCATATCGGTTTCAGGAGTCTGTCAAAAATGTTTTCCCTGGATTGCAGGATACAGCCCAGTCATTCTTCATGTTTCTTCCACATCTTTCTATGGGCCTTCACACACTAATTCTGACTTGAATTTTGATCCCTGTACTACTGTTAATTTCAAATTTTATGCTTTTTTGGTAGCACATTTGAATCATTATCTTCCAGGCTCTTCAGTGGAGTGAGAGCGGAGTGGGGTTGTTTTTACTCAAAGAATGAACTTGACTTGCAGATAATCTATGAATATTCTATGTCTCATCACAGAAAGACCTATCTTCTTTAGATATTCAAAAATAATGCTTAACAAACACAAATGGTTAAAAATTTCCTAGCATGTTAAAAACATTCAGATAACGCTGTTAGGAAGCTCTTATTAGTACCTGGGCATGGCACTGAACTCTAATCATCCCAGCTGTTGAACCGAGGACTAGTCTGTATTGTAAGCCAGTTTTCTTAATGACTAATTATATTCAAAAGACTGTCCATATAGTGTTTTCTCCTCTGCTTTTAGAAATAAAATATGGAAAAAAAAACGCTCTGAAAAACCCAGGAACAAATGTTTCCATTGCTACCTTGACTACTACTGCTTTAATTTTATATTGTGGAATAAAATCTGAGGTGACAGTACAACATTTAGCAACTTTGACCCAGGGTCTCTTTTGCGTCTCTATTATCTGAATACATTTTAATTTCTTTGAAAAACAAGCACCTTTGATAATATATTGGTCGCCTGGATAGTGGTTCTGGCAAGACTATTTTTGCAATATGTGTAGGAAGAAGATAATAGCACAGTTATCTTAGAAAGAAGCAAGTGTTAATGGAAACACGCATTCACAGTTAACAGCTCATAATATTCGCTATGTCAATGAGTTGCAATGTCTTCGTGTGTCAGCATACTTTGTACAGAGCCTTGACCACTGTGATATTTATGAATGGTACTCTTTGCTTTCACTTTGTTATTACAAAATCCACGGTGACACATGCAGGTATACAGATAGCTGCCTCCTTGTCTTACATCGTGACACCCTTTGGTAAGATCAAGTTTATATTACTCCATCTGAATAGCTAGGATGCCAAAATGACATATTCACAAAGTGTATTATTCAATTTGCCCTTCTGATCTCTAAAAACACTTAGATCTTTACCTCCTCAAAAAGAAATAATAGAGCCAGTGATTTTCTAAGGTCTGACATGACTGGCCTTGCCTCTGTTAAAACCTGTCTCTCTTTTTTATTCTTTTTTAAATCTTCTCTTTCATACCCAAATAAGCTGAAAAAGCAATTGAAGCATGCCATCAGACAAGACTTTATGCTCAATGGCAAAACTGTGCAGAAAATGAAAAAAGGAAAAAAGGAAGAAGAAAGCCTTCTGCTTAATAAATAACCTGGTCAACCAGTCATCTGACATGCAGAGATGCAGTTTGCTGCTGGTTCTCTTACTATTGATGGTTGGCACCTCTGAATAATATTAATCACTGTACAATGTCTTTTTCAGATTTCTAACCTTTACATATATGACACGGTGCTACTGCTCGCTAATGCTTTTCATAAAAAGCTGGAGGACCGGAAATGGCACAGCATGGCAAGTTTGTCCTGTATCCGAAAGAACTCGAAGCCCTGGCAGGGAGGAAGATCCATGCTGGAAACCATCAAGAAGGTAAGTGGGGAGGAGTGCTTCGAGGTTCCTAATTCTCATGGAACAGCATACAGTCAATCGCTGCTTGACATGAAGGATTCTTTCTTGATACTATTGCTGCCAATTCAAAGCAGAAAAGTGTATGACAGCAAAATGAAAAGGAATCACCAACCTATTAAGCCTATTTTTAAAACGGAGTGTTTGCTTAGTCATGGGAGCATTTAACGCAAGTAACAATGGAAGGTAGAGATAGCATAAATTGCCCCGGCTGCAGTCATCAAGGTTAGAGATATACAAATAGTTCTGTTGCTGTGGGCAAGTTCCAAGTATGTGAAGTTTGTGAGTTAATTTATTTTTACCCTACTGTCAATTGAAAAGATTTCCCATAGACTTAGTTGTTTTTCATTTAGATGATCCATAGCAAGACATTGGATATAATGACCTTTACTTTGTCCTGTGATAAAGAGTTGATGTGTGAACAGCTAATACAATGCAGCACCTGTGAACTATCTTGGGGACTTGATGGCATTCTACTTCTTCACTGTCAGGGGGTGGCTTACCTGGCAGTGGCCTGTGTTGACCAAGCTCCCCGTTCCCTTCCCAGAAGGCAGTTTTTGTCGTTGAGCAGTTCTCAGCGCCTAAGCACTCTGCGGGTTATTAGCCTCTTCATCATGTCTTCCTTGCTGACATTTTCCGTTTGTCTTGCACAGCTTCTCGGATTTAAAATGAAATGATTAATAAAACAAACAAATGTGTCTCATACCCTTTACACAAAGGAGACAGCCACTTTCAAGTTTTTTTTTTTAAGATTTATTTATTTTTATTGGAAAGGCAGATATACAGAGAGGAGGAGAGACAGAGAAGAAGGTGTTCCGTCCGATGATTGATTTGCTCCTGAAGCAGCCGCAATGGCTGGAGCTGAGCCAATCCAGAACGAGGAACCAGGAGCCTCTTCCAGGTCTTCCACGTGGGTGCAAAGTCAGGGAGCTGGATGGGAAGCAGGGTTGTGGGGGCTACAAACTGGTGCCCATGTGGAATCCCGGCATGTTCTAGGCGAGGACTTTCGCTGCTCCTCTATCGCACCAGGCTCAAGCTCGTTTTTTAAATCCTATCTCATTCTGCATGGATTTGTCTTTTTCTCCTGAGACAGAAAAAAAGCTAATTAGTTGAGATAACAGTGAACATTAAAAAATCAGGGAACAATCCAAAGAGTGAACGTTAGAAGTGAAATGAAAGTACAAAAAAGCAGGAAGTAGAAGAAAGAACTCTTGGGATTGGAGAATAGTTCGGATCTTTTTCTCTGTGCTGTTTCATCTTTGTCAAAGAATTACTGTAATGAGAATTTAGGCTCCTGTCTGAAGTACTAGAGAATTAAATGTCTTGAATACATTGGCAGAGAAGCATTTTTTTTTTCAGGTGAGAAATAAATGTCAAATAAAAACTCAAGGTGTTGCCTAAGTTTTCCAGCTCTGTCTGCGAGGAGAGCTGGCAGGTTCAAATCCAGAGGTTGTTGAACACGATTCTGATGCTGCCAGTTTGTTAATTCATGCTTTGGCCAGGAAGCAGTACCTGAATGTCGTCATTCTTCTGTAGCTTTCTCACAAAGTCAGGATAATGGCTTAGGAGGTTACTTAGGAGACACTTATTGAGTGAAATTATCTGTGGAAAAGAAGGTGACGCAGCAGAATCTATAGGCGTTTCTCATGTAGCAGCCTCATAGACCATTGCGTTAGGAAATCTGTACACAATTGTATGCAATTGCTATTGTAGGTCAGTGGGTAAAGCCTCTACTTTTGACACAACCATCCCAAATGGGGTGCTAGTTCAAGACCCAGCACCCTGACTCCTATTCAGCTTCCTTATATTTTTCCTGGGAAAGCAATGGATACTGGCTGGAGTGCAAGGGCTCCTGTCATCCATGTGGAGGGCATGCTTGTAGCCCTGGCTTCAAGCTGGTTCAAAGCTGGCCCTCTGTTTCTCCCTGTCTCTGTTGCTTTCCCTTTCAAACAAAAAATAAATAAATAATAAAAAAAATCAATACAGTAACTATGAAATTTTATTTGGGGGACTGTTTTCATAAATCTAATTTCTTTCCCAGTGTCATTTTTACAAGGAATCTACCACTCTGTGTGTGCGTACCCAGAGGTTACATTTTGAATGCAGCTGTATAATTCAGTGAGAATGTTCAGTCTTGTGCTAGCTTTATCTACTACGCCACAGCACCTGCCCCATTCCTTAGCCTTTTAAACTGTCTTTAAAAATGGAGTTTGTGGAGTATTGCCCTACATGAGTGTTTTGGGTCATCCTCTTAAGATGTGGGGCTGCTGACAGCCCACACACACCAAAGGGGCATTCAATGATAGTTTGTCATTGCGCAGAGACTGTAGGCAAGGCAGAGTCATCCTGAGCTGATCCAGGCTGGCTTGGACAAGACCAAAGCAGTGAGCTGGAGCTTCTTGCTGCCTACAAGGCTGTGATGGAGAGAAGCCTCACCCTGTGGGTTGCAGATTTGAAAGTTTAAATTTCCCAGGAGCATCCTGTATGGAGGTACAGGGTGGATTTTCTTAATCAGCTTGTTCAGAGCAACTGTAAAGGGGAAAGGAGATGTGAGGCCTAAAAATAAGCCTACTGCCAAACATCACAAATGAGGTCAGGCTTTTTATTACAGTGGGAATGTTCTAGTGATAACATTCTTAATTGCTTTCAAATTAACACAACGTGCCCATATTAAGGGCATGCCTTACACATTTTACAAGTGTGGAGAAGAACAAGTTTCTGTCCACAAAGCCACATGTGTTCTTGTTATTCATTTGGTATCAATCATATACATGTCCAGTACAATGGAAAGTGTTGATCTCTCAGACACTCCTTGTTGTAGCATTGTACTTCATTGTATACATTTGTAGAATAATTACCTCTCCATTTTTCATCAATTTTCAAAAATTCAAGGTTCATTCTCAACGTTCATTTCTCCCAGTTATTGTCAACATCCCCATGCCATTGGTATTTACATAGATCTCTTACATAATTTATTAAAGATTATAACTTTTAAAATATTGCATCGTCTCATTTATTGGCCTGGTATTTATCCAAATGGTCATTTTTTTAATACTTCTCTTTAACTGTTTCTATTGTAGTTGTCCCTCACTTAAAAAAAAAAGATTTACTTTTTTCAATTATTCAAAAAGCAAAGAGAAAGACAGAGAATGTTCTGTCTTCCCTCTGACCCCCCAGATGGCGGCAAGAGCCAGTGCTTGGCCAAGCTCTAGCCAGGAGTCGGGAATCCCATCCTCATTTCTCACGTGGGTGACAGGATCCCAAGTCTCAAGCCATTCTCAGTAGCCTTCCTTGGTGCACTAGTCTGATGGAAGAAGCCCAGCACCGAGGAGCCAAAACCGTGTACTCTTCCATGCTGTTGGTCTGACCAGCAGTGCCTCAACCCTCAGCACCACAGTACTGGCCCCTTCATTCCTCCAGTATTCCAGCACTGAGCATGTGTGTGTGTGTGCACACATATACTAATATACTCATGCTATCATAAATGGACTGCTTGCCATTATGTTTTTAAACTAATTATTACAGATATACAACAAAATTTTTTAATGTTTTTGCTGACCTGAACAACTTTTGAAGTTTACTTACTGATTCTCACTTTGTTTATATCTTATTATCTTGTAGTCTTCATGTAGACATTGGTATTTTCTTTGGATGGCACCAATGCTACCACTTCAATTCTAATAATGCATGTGCTTTTTAAAATTTAATGTATTTCTTGGGCTATTTGCATTCATGTCCACCTGCAATACTGTAAATAATTTTGGAGACAATAACATCTTGTTTTAATAAAAATGTCATAAGTATTATATTATTTAATATACCATGGTTATTACTAGAAAAGACATGTTTTTGAATTTCAAGAAGTTAATACCTTCTGTTTTCATTTTATTATTTTCCCTACTTAAAATTTGTATTCATAACGCAAAGAATTTTAGTAGAACAAGGTACAGTGAAGTTAATTAACATTTTCCTTGATTGTAAGATGGAGAAGATCGTACCTTTGGAAAATTAAGGGGCTTACTAAGGGATAGTCAGATAATGAATTTTAAATACCAAGTTGTTTTGGTTTCTAATTCTATGTTCTAAGGACTACACCATTTGCTCTCTTATTGTGCATAGCGGTAGGTGTTTTTCATTTCTGCTAAAATGGTGTGGCTAAGGAACACACACACACAATTGGAAGTCTTGAGAATAAACATCACGATTAATGTCATGCAGTCACATCCAAGATTCAAGATGGCTTCTTTGGTAATCTTTAGTTTATTTTGAGAAGTTACATTCAATGTAATATGTGTGCTTGGAGGGAAGGAGTCTTGTTATTGCATAATTTGATTTGCTGCTGTCTATACTTAGTGCATCTCACCAAGTGTCTTATGTAAGTCAAATCAATTAAAGTAGAGCCACTCTGGGAGAGAGTGGGAGAAGCTCTCTCTATGTGAGTCTCAACCCAGTGCATTCTCAGAACCACAGTTTGTGAAATAGTTCTCTGTAGCACTGATTTGTTTTTAATACTTTTTAAATATATACAAAAGGAACAGATTTCAGGGATTTCATAAATGCAGTTTAATGATACTTCCCACTGACTACACTCATGGTTACAATTCTTCCTCCTTTCTTTATTTATCTGTTACATTGATAATGACATACTTTCAATCGACTTTATAATCACAAGCTTAACTCTCTCCTAAGTATTCAACAATTGCTAAGTAGAAAAACCACAATTCCTTTTCAGTATGGACAAATGCTATTGAAAAGCAATGATTAAATGTCAAAATGCTAATCTCATTCATATGCATTACATTTGTTTTTACTATGTATATTAGTTACTACAGATCAATGAAAACATGCATTTGTCTGTTGGGAACTGGCTTATTTCACTAAGCATAGAGATCTCCAATAGCACCCACTTTGTTGTGAAAGATGGGATTTCATTCTTTTATGGCTGAGTAATAGTCCATTGTGGA